ATTACAGAAAATCAAAGAGAAATAGAGGAGTTGTAGCAGAGCACTCATCTTCGCACTGTTTAAAGCAACAGTTCAGGAACGGTTTCGCGGGAAAAAACCACCAATAATGAAGTTGTAGATGAAAACCAGACGATTAATGTATGAAAAACTGGAAAAAAACGTCGGGGAGGGTCTTAGACAGGTACTCTCCCTCTGCCGCTAGCAATGGATAAAGACGCACGTTGGACGAGTTGTCTGAACTGCCCGCAGTAAATGCGCTCCAATTGCAACTTGCTGGGCAAATTGCCAGTAATAGCTGGCTACTTGCCAACAATGCAATTGAAGCGCGTAAATTGCATTTTTGATTTGATTTTTCATGTGTAGTTTATTGTTTATATGTTGTCAAAGAAGGTTTTCAGTTTCTTTTCTTTGTCATTGCAACAGCTCCGTTATGTAACGAACTATTTCAGGAAAAACTAGTTCTTATGTAGTCGTTTCATTGTAAACCGCGAAGAGAAGCAAACAACTGAAGCTATTGGTAACATATTGGTCAGGTGGGTTTGAAAATGCTAGTAATCAGAAAATCACTCAGCATTCTACAGTCTACAATTCTCATGTCTTTACTAGTCTTGTAAAAGCTGAACTATTTCGAGGGTGTGGGGTCATTATATGTGTCAGAGTAGCTGCATCTTTGTGAATAGTTTCGTGTTCTCGGTTTTCTGCGGCCTCATCCTATCCTCTCCTAGGGGACGGTACTCTGCCGCTGAGTCTATCCTGTGCTTGCAGGAGACAGAATTGTGTCACGAACCCGCCATCGAGCACACGAAAGTCCACCACTCCTGTTGTGATATATGCAACGAGCAGAGAGATGTGCAAAATCAGGTAAGATAGAAAACATCTAAAATACGTAATAGCTAGAATAGAAATATACAGTAGCGGTCAAAAGTGTTCGCCGAAACGGTTTTTCGTGCTTCTCTTTTTTGCCAGAAAAAAATCAATGGTGACCTCGAAAATTTTTTCTTTTGAATATCCTGATTCTTAAGACTTGAGGATATAAAAACACTAGAAAACATAGTATATCAATCTTTGGAGGACGTTGCTCAAGCGAGAAAAAATAATGCACTAAAAATCGTTTCGGCGAACACTTTTGACATATCAATAAAATATGGATATAAATACAGACACGACACCAACACCGACACGCATAGATGCCCAAGTTAGTGTTCACCAAATCGCTTAGGTGAGCAAACACCATTTGTGGTATTATCATTCTCCACTGATTTCCCGATTTTTAGGGAGACGACATCAAGGAGTTCGCGGATCCTGTTGTTATCATCGGCGAATGGAAACCCATCTGGTGTCTATGGTTGGGCTGCACCTGAGTCCTGAAAATATATTGTTAAGTTTGCTTTGCTTTGTTATGTTGATTTCTATAGTTGTTGAATGCTGTGGTCCGCACTCGATAGTCCTGATACTCATTTTTTGTTGTTTGCATGTCACAAATTTTTGCATAGAAATCTAAGATTGTGTAGAATGATGCCGCAAACTTCATACTGAGCTTCATAGAACTTTTGATAGTAAGACAAATTATTAATGAATTTGTCTTACTATCAAAAGACATCGATATACAACAGCTGTCAACATAAACCACGGCTTGTTGTCCGGCTGGTTGTCTTCTTCAGATCACATGAGTTTCATTTTCGAGTACAAACAATTCGAGCAGGATTTTCTTGAATAATTTCTGGGATGAGACTTTCTGGTATCTTACCCGAAATCACTCAGGTAATCTGCTTGGTTGTAAGAGTAAATAAGGATATGAGATGGTTTCCTTGTGGTAGGTGTTGTATTTTCGCTGTGGCTGCGTTTTGAATAATGTGTGCATTATTGTTGTCTATGATATCGAGGAGATCATAAATGATATTATCTATACCTGTCTCAAATTTTACACATAATTAGATGGAGTAAGGTATCCATTCTGCCGACAAAAAACGGCGTGAAGTAAAGTCACCGTAATTGCACACATATCACGCCAGTCGCTCTGAGATTCCTGTCAGCATGTACACTTACAACATTTCTCCTTTCTTTGATACTTTCAAACTGTGAGAGTTTCAGGATGTGCCCAACATTTATTTATTTCACAGCACATGGTGCAAACGTGTCTACAGTCGGTATCTCGAACTCTGATTGGGCGTGTCACCGGAAATGACGTGGCAGCCACCGCACTTGATAGATGTTGTGTGGATAAGATACTCCGCCAGATATCAGCAAAGCGTGTTGGAAGCAGCTTATACTTCTATCAAGTGCGGTGGCTGCCACGTCATTTCCGGTGACACGCCCAATCAGACTTCGAGATTTGGAGTGTATATTGGTGATTTCGTGTTCATTATACAACACTGAGTGTTCACTGTAGAACATTCTCTCGAGCTTATTCAGCCTGTGTACTTTGCATCGAATTTATTTCACCTCATTTCAATTTAGTGGAAATGGCAGCGAACAGCAGCGACGGTCAAGGCACTGGAATTCCATGCCCAGTGGCCATGGGATTTCCTAGTGATAAGGATTTTGAAAAGTACCAGATGAAAGAGCAACGGAAGGCAGAGAAGGCAGCGCGGAAGAGGATCACACAGAATGAAAGGTGATTTCCTCATTATCGAGCTGTAGTAAAAGATATTCAAGAAACACCCGCAGCCAACAAAATGATGAATATCCTTTCGGATTCAGTATAACCTTTATTTGAGTCGAACCACCGAATCATTATTACCACTTCAGCTACTGCCTTCTTTTGAAAAAAGAGCTTCCTTCTACGAGGCTAACGACCCTAAGCTGGTGCATGTGCGGCTCGTGTGTGTTGTTCACATCAGTGCGCGAGAATGTCTGCTGTCGGGAGGCACTGGAAGGAGAAGGCGAGACCACTCGACCCAGCCAAGCACTGGAAGGGTTACGTGTTAAGGTTCGAGAGAGTCGGGGATGTGTAATCGATCATCCATCTTTCCAGAAAGTGGTGGACCGGGAGGTAATATGAGAATTTCCAACATTTAGGCACACTAATCGTATTATTCCAGACGCTGGAGATAGTAATGGGGCACGTAAAGTTTGCTCTGAGGAAGCAAAGGGATGAGCCGCCCCAGGACGCGAACAAGCATGTTTTTTCTGAATTCATTTTTGTGAATTCGCACTCTACCCCGACATTTCCAGGCGATTCCGTTACTGCGCGTACCGTTCATTCGTGTTCTGGTGTTATGGACACCAAGGGTTCAGGAATAGGTACGAGCTCCCAGCCTGCGTGAGGGAAGCCATTATAAAGGCGTTCCCTTTTACCACCGAGGTTTACGCAGGCTTTAAGGTGAGCATCACTTTCTATCAATAAAAAAATGACTAGCTCAGTAAGCAATTACAGGGAGCAGATGGACGGTACGCCAGTATGGATTGTGATGACGAAGACTGGCGTGAAAGTGCTCTTTGAGGGCTCAGTTGCATTCTATTTGAGGTGAAGTGAAAGAAAGTAAAGGATGAACCGCTAAAATCTTACCCCATCAGAGCTCATAAGGTTCTCCTGGTTGATCACCGAGAGTCTGGTCATACCATCTGGAAGAGGTCCCACCATTCCCATTAGCCAAGGCTTCAAGGACGTCCTTTGAGGACTTCTTCCACCACGGAGTCCCTCCAGGTCTGTCTTACTGAGGATTTTATGACCCGCTTAGATTTCCTCGGACGGAACTTTAGCGGACCTCGCGTGTCCCCAGCACTCTTCTGTACCCGCGTCCTTCTGCTAGCTGCAACGTATTTCAGTGCATTGCAACCATTTTAGCGCGGAGCGGGTAGGTTGAATGTGGATAGAATGTTTCCTTGTCACAGTACATTCTATCCGTGGAGTTCTTCGCCTCACGCAAGGAAGGTGCCTCCGTGCGGGCTCGCCTTGACCATGTCTTTCTGGAAGGAATTTGTGAGGAGCACCTCTCGGAACGTCTTGTAAGCCTTGCTCTCTGCCCCCAAACACTTGAGGCGCTCTTCCGATGGTCCGTGGCTGCACGCGGTGTAGGGTCCGGTATGTTCATTCTGAAATGACTCCTTGAAGTATAAAAATAGTCTCTACGATCGAGACGCGCTCACCGAGGGCCACTGATGCACATCTTTCACGTGCATCAAACAGGTGTTAAAAATGGCCCTGACGTCGGACCCATCTACCCCTCTCCTCAGAGCTGTCCACAGCCACGACTTGACGTCCTCGACCCACGGCTCGATCTTCCCACACTCCTTCAATTTGGCCGCCTATAAACATTTGCTTAGAGTGGCGTTGCCATAGAGTATCATTCTTACCTGCGTCAGCTTGTTGCCCAACCATTTCGCGAGGTGCCATCCATCATACAAGTGTGGGAAGTCACCAATCTCAGCCCTCATTTGTCGTAGTGCTTTCCAACTGCCCGGTTACGGTCAGTCGTCAACGAACTGACTCGAAAACCGCAGGCAGTCACCCACCGCATTAGGCGCCTGACGCCCTCCACCTCCATACAGTTGCTCTTATTCCCTAAATGCATACCATTTGCGAGAACTTCAGCCTTCTTTTGGCGTACCTGTTTCAGAGCGATGCAGGACTTCTGTATGGAGGACCAACTTTGTCGATAAATCGCACAGCACTACCTTACAAATGAGGGCTGAGTAACCACGGCTGTCGTAAGGCGCCGTCGGCAGCCAAATTGAGGCTCCCTGCCTCCTGTGTAAATGAAAGGATTTTTGGCATGCCAATATGTTGTGAATTCGGTATTTTACCTCACTCTTTTCCTTCACCTTTCCAGCACTTCAATTTGGTGGGCGGCATAAACTTTTTCAATTGCTGCTTTAGTCCAGCCAAAAATAGTATAAAAATGGGTTCGCGAGAATAAGGCCAGGTTCATGTGCTCTGCCCATCGCGCCAACTGCTGAAGTTACAACAACTAGGTGTTTAGTATTTCCTGCATAAGGTGATTTCTTCTACTAACCACATATCGCGACGCCGATAGTGATTGCAGAGACAGGCCCGACGAGATTCCCTTTAAGCATCTTCTCACCCGGATGACTGACTGCTCGTTCTTGGCTTTCCCATTTTTTCGCTGAACAGACGAGGCACCGAAAGCGAACCACTGCGGCAGTTCCCACCGCCTTCAGTTGTGCTTTCCCTAACCGGTGGCCGCATTGTGGGCAAAAGCGGAACAGGGACATCAACATAAGACCCTGCACCAAGAAAAATTTGCCCAACAAGGTGTCATCCGTATCTTCTAGATCCTCCGTTTCACAGTCCAAATCTTCGCCATTTGGCTCATAATCAGGGTCGGTGGTCGTGGACTCTTCCTCCGTAACCTGAACCCTTCATTCATTGATGCAGGAATGATAACAACTTCTTCCCAACCTCAAAGCTCTCATCAGACGCAGTATCATCGTTTTCATCGCTACCCTGTCCCACCACGATCCCTATTTCACCATCCATCTGCTCTTCAATCAGTCGAGAGGAATGTGAGGATGTGTCCTCTGCTGCAATGGGTGTAGCCCCCTTGAAACCCTCCTGAAATTCCAATTATTGCATGACGTAAAGGGTAACTTCTCAAAAGATGTGCTCAAACCTCCATCTCAGCTGCTCCCCAGACATCGGTTATAGTTTCACATTCGTGGAAGACGTCCTGACCTACGTAAGTCTGAATTAAATTCCAATTCAGTGAATGTTTTCCGAGGTTCAATGATTTTTTCTTTTCTCCACCTGTTCCGTTACCCTTCCAAAGTTCTGTGAGTAGTAAAGTTTCAGTGCGTCGTTCATGAACCTGCTAACATCAAGAGGTGTAACGCTAGCGATACCCTGAACTTGCACTTCTTCCTATTTCCAGTAAGAATAACGTCTATCAAAATCTCTACAAATCATACTGATGCCATGGTGTTGAAGACGTTCAACCAAGTGCTGTGGAATGTCTCCATTCGTTACATACACATTGGGTCCACACGAACTCGGATCATAATACTGAGAGATATGGTTACCCACAATGGCCATTTCAGCGGATATCGATAAAGCCTGTTCATAAATTCAGATAATCCAAGTGCTTTCAGCAATGTTTGATTCCAATTTATCTTACCGCCTGCACAATATGTTCATCACATAAATAAACTTTTCGTTCCATGGCTGGCTCTACAAGATTTCGAGCACGCTCAACTTCTATGTATCCGGCAAATGCGAGGGACATTAGCATCACAGCGTTCTGGTTCTTCCCATAGAACGATCTTTTCGCAGTCTTAGATGCCAAACCTGCTCCACAAATAGCGCATTGAACCATCTTGAACACTAAAAAAGTTTCTGTGTTATGCGGAAACAGACATCCTACTATTAGGTCGGTCAAAAAGTATCCGCCGTTTTGCACATCGAGTGTTCACCTACGTTTTTGGTGAATTCTTTCGCGACTAATCAAATAGACTGGGTGTCAGCTCGTAGAGGAAGATCAGCCCTTTCATACAATGTCCATTATCGATCATTCGACAATGCCGGAATGCTTTTGAAACGAAAAGGTTGTGTTTCAGCAAACTTGTGCTGCTTCGAATTTAGGGGCTCGAAACGGCGCATATTTTTTGACCGACCTAATACATGCGATACGCTCACTATGCCCGTGTGTGAAGGTCTGTTTGCTTCTGCCGCGTTCACACACAGGCACACTGCGAATTCAAAGTTAACCGAATGAAAATGAATAACTGAAAGCGCCGTATGTCTAAGGGCTCACTACGCCTTAGCTTGGCTAACGCAAATGTGGCTTTACGGGCCGTATGCTATGCTCCCCGAAGGAATTGGGGGACGAAAATTCCTTTTAATTTTCTCTGTCTTCCCAACTGGGATTGCCTCTGATAAAGGGCCTACATTTAATGTATGTATGCAGGTGAAAGTAAACATGCAGTGAAAATGAAGAAAACTTTGGGTCATCTATCTTCGGGGGAGCGTAGCATACCGCCTTACGTGTGCTTCTCGAACATATCCCGCGCACCGCATGTTAGGCCGCGTTCGTAGGTGTGTATGTATGGTTTTCGTGATGACGGAAAGCACTTGTGCTCCCATCAAAATTGTGAGTTGCTATGGTATGTGGCCGCCGATTCAATTTGAGGGACGTGTTGACTTGGATTACTTGTTCTTATTCAGTGATGCAAATGTTCTATTGGAAGACTCAAAACATTTACACACTAATGTTTATTGAAGATGTCATAGATTCACAAAGGAGAAATCACATTCATTCACAGAAAATGTTGCCGAAAGCATGTCCTAACATTACTGTCATATCTAAAGCATAATGAACACAGACAGATTTCATATCATACATGACAACACAAAAGAACTGAAGTGACATTCGAATTCAGACACAATCTTTCCACCTCTTCCATGCACTGAGGTCGCAAAAGTCTCTTCACACTCGGTGCAGACATCACAGCTAGGAAAGACCCATCCTAAACACGTTACAGAAGAGCTGGTATAATCAGTCAATGCAAAATCCACAGCTGATAAAAACCTTGGAAGATTTGCACTACGATGCCTAAGCTATACTTCAGGCGAGCAATTTTTCACCCATTATCAAATGAGAAATAACTCACGGTTCAACTCTACGCTCTATTTCCATATCCGTTCCTGTTTACCGTCCGATTCTTCAGCTTGCTAAATCGAAAGAATTCAAAACAATATCGTAAGCAACCTTATCGAAGTTTCCATAAGGAACAGAAGAAATGGGCTACCTGCAAATGGCAGTTTAGCTGCGCACAAACGCTGATCTTCCAGCTTTGAAAAATCAGCAGTGTATAATGCCCAGATACCTGAAACAACATTCTGAGGTGAATAATGACGGTGAATAATGCGAGGTCTCATTTGTGTAAATGTATATGAGAATAATATCGTCCGCGAGCTCAAAGAAATAATGCCGAAAACGAAAAATGAAATCAACGAACGGACGAAAAATCCTTCTATTTTATAAAGCGCTAACTTTGTGTGTCGGTTTGTGTATCTGTATGTGTGTGTATGTATGTATGTGTGTCCGTCCGCAAAATGAAGTGAGTGAGAAGGAAGCTCATGGGATAAACAAACCGCTAACAAATCGGGTAGCTTACAGGATTTGAGATATCAATGTTTTGTAGCAGGATAGTTGTGATAACACTCTTAGGGCTATATAAACACCTGCTTAGCACACTTCCGTTCATTCCACATGGTGCTGCAGTGGCAGCTGGAGGGCAGTGGAGAGAGGAAGGGAGGATGAGGAAGGGAAGCGAAAAATCTACCGTCATATCATGATTGTGTCCCTTCTACTGTATGAAACACCATTGTGTTGCATACGCGTCACTTCCACGAGGTGTTGGTGTCACAGGAGGAAGGGACCATAGCGGAGGATAGAAAGCTTGCGCAGGAAAGGAAGGTCCCGGCGGTTGACGGGGGACTAATCTGGTGTACAAAAATAACCGAATACGATACATATCCTACCATTCCACCGCGAACCGTGCTTGAGATAGGTAGCACAGAAGAGAATATGTACAATGAAATCATTTATCTGGCCAGAAAAGCATCTTCCTAGGAAAAGGTGTACGCAAGAAATACAACAGGTGTCCATTTTTACTAAGCGACAATCTTACTATCGAAGGGGGAACGGGAAGCAACGAAAAATTCCTTGACCCTCGTACGCAGAAAAGCGACAAGTTCGTACTAACGCTTCTCGATGTGTGGCTTCACTAATACGGAAAGCGAAATGTTCCGTTCGGCAACGCGAAACATTTTCCGCTGCGGGAACATCAGGTCCACATCAGTGGACTTGAGGCTCGCGCAGCGAATCATCACTGGTCCCGCGATCCCCCCAGCGAATACTGTTTCGCGCTGCGCAAAGCGAAAACATATCGCTTCTCGTCCTAACTAATGAATCCAGAGCGCTCACTAAGCGAGTGCGAGATAGATGACGCAAGTGATGTTGCGTTTTTTTTTGCATCATTGATTTTGCGCATAAGTAGTGACTCAGGTGCTAATTCATTAACTCTAACGCCCTAGTCGTTGATTGCGGCTAGAGACAAACGAATCCAGGAAATTAACGGGGGAGCGGCGCGGTATGGCCCTGCTAACCTACTGGCGGCATGCCTTTAGCTGGAGAACCCACATCGTCTCTCCCCCCCCCCTTCAGGGTTCCCTGACTTTCCCTAGGTATATTTCTTCTTCGATCTTCGACCTTATTGTGGAATGTTCCTTCAATAACGCAAGGAAGAAAGCTTGCCTGGAACTCTGCAGGAGTCTAACTTCGACGTCTAATGGCGCCTCAGAACACCGCATTTCAGCTTTTTCGACGCTGTATGAAAAAAATTATGAGAAAAAGGTATACAACTTCGTAACACTATATTATGCCCATCCGTGCAAAGAAATCTAAAATAATCAAAAAAAAATGAACAAAGCGGAACGAAAATGTTACCTTCCGCATGCATATTTTGCATATGTTGCATGGCAATTTCAGTAGAATCAACTGCGTGCGTTGCTCCATCCTGGACGCGAACATTGATGCCAGCAATGGGAACTTTAATCAAAGGCCCTTCATGTACGATCATATCCAAACCCTTAAAACACATATTTAGCACGTTACCATTGGAACAGGGGAGAACACGAGGTCGGATGCAAGAATTACGGTTCAGTCAGGCGGGCCACTGCTCACTCAGTGGGCGACAGGGTTACGAGATTGCGCTCTGAGATGCTCTTCTTCTGCGCTCATACCGTATTAGAATTCGTAAAATACCTTACCGAGATCAACATGAAGCTATTCACTATGAACATCGGTAGTGTTTTCGATGACCAGGGGCGAAGGGACTAATGCATCCGATCTCGCTTCCATAACAGAAGATACCTGCTTGAGCGCTGGGAAAAGCGATTTCGGGATGTTGTTCACCGAAAGTTTCATCCGTGAAATCGACATGCGTATTCCTGAAAAAGAGTAGAATAAGGAAATGAACAATGAAACCATTGAAAGCGATTTCTACCTCTCAGCCGGAAGCGGGTCAATAACTCCTTCAATCTCACCGAACTGTCCCTGGCCACCGGTTTGTTTCTTGTGCCGATAGTGGAATCTGATTGGAAGGAGATTCAAATAAAGAATTGGAACGCACAACAAAAAATATATCTATTCACTTGTATGGCTTCGTTAGCGATTCCCTATAAGCCACAGTTGGTTTGCCCAACTCCACTGGACAATTGAATTCACTTTTCATCCGCTGCGCATAAATTTCCTGCACAAAAACAAAGAATAACAGAAAAAATCATTGTCTTCACAGATAGCACAAAACAATTACCAATTGGAGCTCTCCTATTCCAGAAACAATCGTTTCTTTAGCTTCAGCATTGTAATCCTTACGGAAAGTTCGATCCTCCTTTGTGAAGCGAGTCAAAGCCTAAACAAATCAAATACAAACCGAAAAATACAAAGAAATTGACCAAATGTTCAAAGAAACGGCAAAATGATCGCAAGGATACTACACACCAGAGACCGTTAAACATTCTATCGAAACTTCAAGCCTCCATGGCGAGGAATATCTTCACCATATTGATTGCTTTAAAGGAACGAGTGAAATTTACCCTGTGGTCCCAAAACGACGAGCGACGATTGCCGACGCGTCCAATGACGGCCGGCAAGGGGGCGGGATTGGGGAAATCCCCAAGAACACCCATGTTTGAGGGACTTTCCACCCTGTTTTTGAGTTTCTGAGGTAAGTTCGTTTATTATTTCCACTGCATATGTTCTTCACTAGGGCTCGTGTATCCCTCAGTAGTAGTGGCATTGAAATTTTCGGACCCTCCCTGAACTGTTGCTTTAAGGCTCGGTGCCTCCGAAATTGTGGTCTGAGTTTCGTTTCTTCTGAAATGATTGTATTCTCGTGGTGGTGGCACCAGATTCAATGCGCTGATTTCAAACGCACAGCACTGAGAAAGCTTGTTCCATGCTGGCAGCTATTAATAACACCAAACAATCACTTC